AGTGAAGGTATTTCATCAGTCTATTAAAGGTTGAAGTAAGACCAGTCACATTCATTAAAAGGTGAGGTAATTTTTACGAGTTATGTGAATTTAGATTTATGGAGTGGAAAACAAAATTTAAATGGGTATAAAGTAAGAAAATATTAACTTAAGATAAGTTTCCATTAACATAAGTTTCCATAACTTTCCATAAATATTAGGTATCAGATTAAATTATAAACTTTGAACGAAATTTAATAATTAAAACTTTTACAGAATACAACAAGCTTTTGAGATCTGCAATAACAATAATTAACTTTATTTACAAAAATCCAGTGACAAAAAAAAAAAATTTCAAGCTAGAGTAAAAAACAACAACAACAAAGAAACATGAAAAAAATTAATCTAACTAGAAAATACGGTCAATCAAAAATAAAGAGTGTCATTTGGTCCTTCAAGGCTTTTCCTACATCGTACACACCCACTTCCACAATGGCCCAAGGGAAAGACAACGGACTCACAAAAGTTAGTATTACTAACCAATCTCATTCATTAATAAATATAAGTGGTCCATCGTGACAGTATTATACATTGTATAACTGCAATTTGTGTTTAAAAAATGGAGAAGCTGTCTTCAAAGATGTTAATAAATCTTAAAGCTCTAAGCAAACTACGACAGTCATCGCCTAAAATAGCAATAGTAGCGCCACTATATAAAGGAATTTTCTTATGGAATAATTACATAAAATGAGTAAAAATATAAATAATTCCTACAATTCTAAACATAATAAACTGGAGGTTATTTACATATCAATAAAGTATTTGACGAGAAAGACAGCTAAAACAATATATAGATTATTTTATCTTGCAGATGTGAACCTTAAAATAGATTACTTATTACACAAGAAACACAGTGAAAAATAATTTAAAAATAAGATATAATAATAATATAAAAGCTACATAACTAACCATTTATAATCATAAATACGATAAACATGAGATGTTTAAATACAGTATAAAAGCAATAATTACAAAAAAAAACAATGAAAAGACTAATCATAAAATAATTTATCATACACAATAATTATGAACGAAGAAACAAGTATGAGCTACATGTAACAAAAACAGAAACCTCAAACGATAAGCCCCCCAGTAGCACAGCGGTATGTCTGCGGACTTACAACGCTAGAAACCGTGTTTCGATACCCGTGGTGGGCAGAGCATAGATAGCTCATTGTGTACCTTTGTGCATAAGTACAATCAAACGATAAATTGTAAAGTGAAACGACAAAACACACACGTTTGTCACAATGTACCATGAAATATCACATAATAATAAGTTAAAATGAAACTAAATTATTTTTCACTTTGAGCAATGACTTACTGTCTCATTGGCATTCGCTAGTTCTTGCTCCAGGATTTCGTTTTTTTGGGTTAGCTGTTTGTTTTCTTCAAGCAAGGACTGACCAATACGTGCTGCTAATTCTAGATCTTTTTCTTTCTGGAATGAAATGTAAAAAATAACTTTTAAATACGCTGTGTATATTACAATAATTAGTTCTTTACGTATAGACGAATGTGAATTATTTAAAGTGAGACTAACTTTTTAAAATTATAATCCATACTTTTTCATATTTTAACTTGTTACTGCAGTTAATATGAATGAAAATTGAAACTATCACTCCAAAATCATGATAGCATTAAACACAAAATATAAAATGTTACACTAATTATAGATTTTTTCATCAAAAATCAGTATTTCATGTAAGGTGGTAGTGAAATCGTTATTTCATGCATATTTATCAAAATGTTCAGATTCTAGCTGTAAATATTATTGCTCTTAAAATAATACATCAAATAATTACTCCAATAATTCTACTTTAACAAATATATATTTCGAAATATTTTTAGTATAAACAACAGAATATTTTTAACGTGGATAATTATCTTAGCACTAACCCATGCTTCTATAATTTAAAAGCTACAAAATAATACATAATTGGTTTTTCTATTGATAATTCTAAGAATTCAAAGAGTGAATGCAACGAATAATATGTAATAATATATCAATCACACTATATCTGTCGGTTGCCAACGAGGCCTTTCGCTGAATACCAGAGCTCAACGGGCAAGATTAATCCTCTACTGAGAATAAGATTATGCATTTCCTTTTTCAAACAACAAATATTCAAATACCATACCATAGGATGTTCTGATTATAGCATGTCGTAGATTTGTGTTTCAAGTATTGATAAGAAACAGCTTTTTTTATACAATTATATACCAATTTCTCTGAAAATATACAGGCCAACAGTTCCATATTTATCATTAGGGGCAGATAAGCCAGACATATCGCCTAAAATATATAGCTTGTTTGTTGTATTTTGCGCAAAGTTACTCGAAGGCTATCTGCAATAGCCGTCCTCAATTTAGAAGTGACAGACTGGAGAGATAAGGGTGCTAGTCAACGCCATCTATCGCTAACTTTTGGGCTACTATTTACCATCGAAAAGCGTGAATGGCCGTCACATTATAACACCTCTACAGCTGAAGGAGTGAGCATGTTCGGTAACGGGATTCGAAATCACGACTCGCAGTATGCGATTCAAGCGCCCTAACCACTAGACTATGCTAGAACGTTTACATTTTTTGTGTATACTATTGATTTTTAATTATTTTCTTGGAATTGGTTTCTGTAATACCATATAATATAGATATTACATTTTTATGTTATACGCACGACATAAAACAAAACATTACTAGTAAGCTGATCCCAGTACAGACTTTAGAAAATATTTGCCTTTAATATTACTTGAATATTAATAGTTCAAAACATTGTTTTAAAGAACATAAATCCGATAAAACGACCAATATCAACTAAAAGTTAAAAGCTTATACACTGAACAAGGCTTACCTCTTCGAGTAATGCTCTCACTGCTTCAATATCATTGTATGTTTTGGTCATCTGGCTTAGACGATCCCCACATGAAACTAAGGTGTATAGAAGCGAGACTATCAAATGTTAGATAACATAGTATAAAAGTACTTTTAGCAAATAGCACTCCTTTATATGATAAATCAAAAGAAAATCAATGATAAATAGGCTTAAGCAAACAAGTACCCGGAATGTAGATGAAAGCTCAATGTTTTAAAAAACAAACTAGACAATGAATAACAAAAACAAACATTTTGTATGTCTGCTTTTTGAGCCAGGTAGTTTTTATTTTTGTTTTTGTACATGATTCATTTTAGATAATCATACTGTGCGATCAAATAATCTCCATAAACAAAAGAAAAACTACTACCGTTTATATAATAACCAAACGTTGTTTTTTGTTTTGTTTTTTAACTAGTAATGTCTTTGAGATATTTCAAAAGTCAGTCATACTGTGGCGCTCCACATATGAAGCATGATTCAAACTTTCACTATTTATTTTTTATTAAAAAGAAATAAAAAATGTACGAAGGACGCTAAATATGAGTAAAACTCGTCAACATTACAGAATGTGCTCAATAAAAGATCGTTTGTTTGCTATAGGATTGTCGAGCAATGCTTCGCAAATGGCTATCTGTGAATCACTGTTCCTAATTTTGAACTGAGGGAAATCAGCTAACTTTAAGGATACTCTTGTTTGACCAAACAATGGGATTTTATTGTCACTTTTATAGCGCACCCGTAGCCCTAAACTGAATAGCGCATTTTTTGGTGATAACGGGACACAAACCATAAACAGATTCAAAGTCCGGGCACGCTAACGAATTGGACACGCCCGGTCGTATAGAACATAGGACTAATGCTATTGTATGTAATGACATCATCACACGGTACGCTGCACTAAATCAATTATACCTTATAAACGGCCTGCAAAAAGCGTTACAACCAATACTAGCCAGATCATGCCAAAAGAAAGGAACATGACTTTCACTGATGTACATTAGCACTGTTACCCTAAATGTATTTTGGGTTACAGTCATGAAACGCACATGAAGAACGGGTTCTTCCATGGAAAGCAATTTCCGCAATTCCACTAAAAATGAATGAATAACCTAAAATAAATGTGTATAAATCACGAAAAATTCTGTAAATGAATTAAAAATACAAATTTTGACAGAAATTAGTAAACAAGACTACCGCCATCAGTGTTATTTCAATACAAATTTTGACAGAAATTAGTAAACAAGACTACCACCATCAGTGTTATTTCAATACAAATTTTGACAGAAATTAGTAAACAAGACTACCACAATCAGTGTTATTTCAATACAAATTTTGACAGAAATTAATAAACAAGACTACCACAATCAGTGTTATTTCAATACAAATTTTGACAGAAATTAGTAAACAAGACTACCACCATCAGGGTTATTTCAATACAAATTTTGAAAGAAATTAATAAACAAGACTACCACAATCAGTGTTATTTCAAAGATTGTACTGTAAACTTTTGGCAGTGTAAGCAAACAAGGGTTTTTGCATTTAATTTATCTAACTTTGAGGAGGATTAAATTAAATTAGAGAACATATTTTATATTTATACATTCCAATGAACACGTGCCCCTATACGTCACAAGTGCTTTTACACATTACTAATAACACTTGGCGACAGTACAGAATCCAGCAAACAAATATCCCGTTAGGAAAACTGGTTGATACCATCAGGACACCGTGTACTGTAGCCACCCAATTCGCAGTCATTAATCTGAAAACCTCATACATTGAACCGGTCTAAGCAGATTTGGTTACCACTTACTACACCTCTCATCCTGGCCTCTGATGAACTCTTTAAAGAGGCATGAGGCTTACAGCAACAGGTAAGGCCATGCATGTGTTCATGGAACGTTGACATATTTATCTTAGTACCTTATTCTGATCATGGTCAGAATATAACAAAGTATACGTGATGCCTTTTCTTCTACGGTGAGATAAAGAAATAATGTCACTAAATTAAGACTCAGGAAGTATAAACTGGGGTATATTATGTTGTTATGGATGCACGCGTGCGTCATCAACTCCACCGATTTCAGTATATGCCTTTTTCTGAATAATTTGTTTGTTTGTTTGTTTCTGAATTTCGCGCAAAGCTACAGGAGGGCTATTTGCGCTAGTCGTCCCTAATTTAGCAGTGAAAGACTAGAGGAAAGGCAGCTAGTCTTCATCACCCACCGCCAACTCTTGGGCTACTCTTTTACCAACGAATAGTAGGATTGACCGTCACATTATAACGCCCCCACGGTTGAAAGGGCGAGCATGTTTGGTGCGACGGGGATTCGAACCCGCGACCCTCAGATTGCGAGTCGAGCCACCTGGCCATGCCGGGCCTTTTCTGAATAAGCAAAAGGAAATCTATTTTCTTTTTGTACGTATAGTAAAAGGTACTACAACTCACCTTCTCCGATTCGGCTATAATGGCACAGTGAATTTCGGTTCGTAATAAACTTGTCTATTTTACATTGACTGTTCGAACACACTAATGAACATGCATAATATTCCAAACATTTGAAATAATGCCAAAATATTTACGAACCAAGAGCAGAGAAGGAACTACTTTTAAAATAAAATTGTTATCGTTCCACCTAAGTTAGAGGCACGAAATACTATGGTATTCATGAGAAAGTCGTGTTCTAATTGTCTTTGAACGAAGTTATTTGTGTTTGTTTCTGATATACATGCAAAGTTACACGAAGGCTATCTACATTAGCCACCCCTAATTTTGAAGTGATAGAGGGAACGAAGGTAGTGAAAAGCACCTTCCTCCAACTCTTGGGCTACTCTATTGAATAGTGTGGTTTGACCGTTACTCTTATAACACATCTACTGCCCTAAAGTGCAGATCGCGATTTTGCGGCAACGGAACCCGAGCCACGGACTCTTGAATTAACAGCCCGGCACGTTAAACACTAGTCAATGCCTGAAAATGAATAAAATTCAAACTTTTTGTGTGCACTTTAAATAAAAAAAATGTAAGTTAAGTACACTGTAAAAAGTTTCTATACATATACAGCAACCTATTGTGTACATTTACGATACATTTTCCCGTAAAAGGATATAATAATATTTGTTGTCAAATTATGGTGATTGATGCTGTAGATATGAATAAAAACTCACGTTCGTATTTTTGCAACACATACTTTACTCAGTTTTACAGCTGTGTGCCTTAAACACACTCAATTATAGAATAATATAAGAGGTATTTTACTCAACTCCCCCCAAGTATTAAGTCAACATCAACATTTACTGTACCGTGTTTTGTTTATTACGCACCACAGTGACCCCATATTTACATACAATTTGAAGAATGTGTATCCTTGATGTTACTAATGTGTTCTTTTGAATCAGTTTTTTTAGTATTTTGAACAATTTTGCTGCTGAATAAAATAAAAACATTTAAGAGGAATAGTTAAATACTTTAATAAAAAGATGGGTGAAAGTTTATGAAACCTG